TAACTAGTTCCTTGCTAACCCTTGGTCCAGGTGTGCCTCCCCTGGGGCCTGAGGGGGGCCCAGCAGGGAGGTGGCTGCTCTGGTCCCTACTTAGGAAGACGGAGGCAAAGAAATCGTTAAACATGTTAGCTTTGTCGTCTGGTGTGACGACCAAATTTCCCAATGCATCCTGCAGGGGCCCCACATTACCCGGAACCTTCTTTTTACCGCCTATGTATTTAAAGAAGGACTTCTTATTGTCCTTAATCTGGGAAGCTAGTCCTAATTCCATCTCTGCCTTGGCCTTCCTGACTGCCCCCCTGCATCCCCGAGTGACTGCAGTATAGTCATCCCTGGTGATGTCCCATTCTTTCCATTGGGTGTACGCCTCCCTTTTAGCAAGGAGACATTCCCGGATGCTTTTGGTGAGCCATGGAGGCTTGTGTGCCCTCCTGCTCCCTTTGATCCTCTTTGGAATTACCTTCCTTTGGGCTTGGAGGATCGTCTCCTTAAGGAGCGACCACTCTCCTTGGATTTCAGCATCACTAAAATGGGGTCTGCCTTTGTTGCTCACAGCCCTCTCCAGTGTCTTCTCTCTGGAGCTCTTCACACTTTGCTTCTGTCTTTCTGGTGGTATTTTTTAGCTTTCTGAGCTCAGTGTTACCTAAATTCTTGATGACAGCTGAACTTACACCAAAGGAACAGCTGGAAAAGGAAAGGTGGAAGTAAGCACAGTGTACAGATGTGTCAGTAGTTTTCTTTGTTAGGTTTTCTGGAAGCAGCTGAACTAAGCAGTCCTGGGCTTGGCTCATACTGTCAGGGAACCTCATGGCTCGAAGACTGTCATACATACTCTCCTTTGCAACAAAATTATCCACTGCTTAGTGCTCCATACTATACAGACTCTGAGCAAAAGCCAGAAGGGGAAGAGCTTTGCCTTTTGTTTTAAATTTAGCTCTTCATTTCTCAGAAGAACAGAAACATTTATGGATTTGTCACCCAGCCAGGTTCCAAGTTTCCTTGACCAGAAGGTTTGACAGGGGGGCAAACAGAAGTGCGCTTGTGTTGAGAGTCCTGAGCACAACTTCTTATCCTTCTTCTTGTCAGTCTCTGGTCAGGAAGTTGGACATCAAAGATAAAAAAATTATGTAATGTTTAGGACCTCCATTCCTTACAGTCTGACAAACCCCCAACATGGATGTATGCCCAGGAAATGAGGGGAAAGCAGGGAACCAGGAAATAACACATATATTCAAAATTAATCTTTTTATTAAGCTTCTACCTTTGTCATTTTGTCTCTGTTCCTTCTTACAGGGCCAGTTCCTACTACCATTACATGTATTGAGCAGTAAAGTATGAAACTGTAATGTACTCTGAGTTATCCCAGTGAAATTAATGAGGTTGCTCACAGTGTAAGCAACAAATCAGTGTAAAAAAGAGAATCTGGCCCTTAGAAAGCCAACTGTCTGTTGATGTCTTCAACATCTTAAACATCAGAGGACAGATTGTTAGAGCTTAGCAGCTGCTAATTGTAATTCTACTTGACTTAAATGAGCTTGAGCTATGAGTAAAATAAAAGGATGTCTCCAAATACACAGCTTGTATATCTTCCTTGGAAAAGCATCTGTATTGATCTTGTAGCTGCTCTTCGTTTACAGAGTGACACCTAGCATGTGTCTGTACTATTACACACTCCAAGAATAGTGTGAACACAGGGTGCTTGTGTATTTTCACTAGAGTGATTGCTGAAAATTACTGAGGCCATGTCTGTGCTGTGAAGCTTACAGAATTTTTGCCAGTAGATGGCTGCCAGCATTGCTAAGCTTATAGCATTTGTCTGCTTTTGCCAACAATGTACATTTTCAGCTGGAGAGGTTATGAAACCGAAAGACATGGTGTACCAAGAGTAGGCATCATCCCAGGGTCCCCTCCACCAGTGTTTCTCAACTTGTGGGTCACGACCCAAAAGTGGGTCACAATAATATATGAAAGGGTCACGAACAAATTTAAAAAATGGATCAACAAACTTGAAAAATGGATTTTCCTTTAAAGGAGAAAAAACTGGGGAACTGTGGCTTTTCCCTTGGAGGCTGGCAGAGTTCCAGCCTGCAAGGGACTGCTTGGGGCACACACCCCCTCTGTCCTACATACCTGCTCCCTGCCCCCACACTGAGGGTGGGGGGAAGGCAGCGGGTTGGGAGTGAGGGGCACTGGGTCTGGACTAGCCATCGGTATTTACAAATGGGTGCTTGGTACAAAAAAGGTTGAGAACCACTGCTCAGACCAATGCCCTGCCATGTGAAACATTTTTTAAGTGGTACAGGGTACAAGCACTGTTTATGGCATTTATGGGAGCTGAGACTCAAGTTCCCACCATTCCCTCTCTTCCATCCTATAGTTTTTAACCTTTTTTCAAAACAGACATGAAACCTGATGCTGCTGTCTGCTCCTACTGCTATTTCACCATCCAAAATGCTGGTCCCATCTACAGCAACAGAGTTCTTGTGTCCGTTCTAGAGACGGGGAGCATTTGAGGACATTCAGCCACTACCACAGTAGTCAGGGTGCTGTGATGAACAGTAGGTGATCAAAGAAGAGGAGTGAAGGATGTATGATAATCACAAGTCACTGCTGGTATTCATTGACTGGTTCCACATGGCAAAGCTGCACATCTGGGCTTTTTAAAAAAAAGCACTGATGGGTAGGATGAACTTGTGATATAGACTTGGGATGAATGGCAATGGCTGCAGAACTTCCAGAAGTAGAAGGGCGTGCCAAGTTTTTCCCATTCCTCCAGCACAAACAGCAGAACAAGAGCTGCTTTGTCAGTGGAAAAGCGCGCGGCGATCATGCTTTGAGAAATTGCAACCCTAAATTGCAATCAGTCAGTGGACAGTTGGTTCAGTGTGGGAAAACTTACAGTAGGGACCGTGGTCAGTCAGCTGGGTATGACCATTAAGCATGTCCACCTGCATAGGACTGTGACTTTGAAAGATGTGCAGGAAATAATAGATGTCCCCCATCTGTTGCCCCACCACAGCTCAAGCAGAACATCTCAGTTTTGGCCCACTGCACATTGCCTATGCATACATAAAAAGGAAAGGGGGGCAGGGGTTGTGGTTAGGCAGCTACCAGTGGGCCACTGGGATTTATTTACTGACACTGAGTTGGGTGGTGAGAAAAGTGCAAGATGCTTGCATCTTTCCTAAAAGCTGTAAGCAGAGACAATTTCTGTAGATCATCACAGCACATGCACACTGATAGGAAGACCTTTATCCCCAAATTAGGACAAAAGGGACATACTTTGTAGGAGGAGTCTCAGCATAGAGAGAGAGCATACCTTTTCAAGAGAATCACTTTACTGGAAAACTAAACAAATGCTTCACTAGCATTTGGATTAGACAATGCAAAAACATACTCTTGCTCAGGAGGAGGCTGTAGGCCATATCTAGAATTTCTCAGCTCTTGTTGGTTGCTCAGTTCCACATTTCACAGTTCACCAGTTCCTCAGGTCCTGAACTTCTGGGTTCACAATCATGGATATACAATCATTAATGGCATCTTCTATCTACACTTTGTTTGGGTATATGTTAATGAAAGGGGTTGATCATGAAGACTCTACAGCCAAGTAAAGAATTTTATGATAAGGAATTTCATCCAGATGCCCAGAGGTGATTAGGTTATTAGGTCTTGTCTTCACCTTTATGGTTTTAAGAACTGTTTAGTCAATGGTCTTCAGAGTTTATCAGTTAGGTTTGGACCCTGGATAGGACTTATGATAAATGGTTTTAATTGTACTGCTTGTGTTACTATGGTCAAGCATTTAGTAGAATGTAATTGGAGTGTTGTCATTAGCAGTCCCTTGATTCAAGGATGATCTCTATCACAGCTCATTGTTTGGTCCTGAGGTGTCTTAAAGAGTCCAATCCTTGAGCCACAGACCAGTCTGCAGAAACTGCAGGTTTTTCCACAGGTGAGGGTATGCCATAGGCCAGGATTTCTCTCCTTTTCCTCTCCCTGCTCTCCTTTGCTTTGAGTCCAAGAGGTTTGAACTTGAAATGGGCTTCTGCTTGGTTGAGGTTGCAGTGGCACTGGAGTCAGTCAGCAGCCAGCTCCTCCCAGCTCTTGATACCAGCACCCAATTTCTTGAGGTATGCCTTCAATGAGTCCTTGTAGCATGTCCTCTGGCCACCACAAGATGTCAGACCATTACTAAGCTGTGAGTAGAACACTTGTTTTGGGAGTCAAGAGTCTGGCATCCTCACACAATGTCTGCTCCAGGAAAGTTGGTGCTTAAGGATCCCCAACTCAATTATGGTAACCTTGGCTTCAGCAAGGGTGCTGGCATTTGTGCCGTCATGTTTCCATTTGATGTGGAGGATTTTGGTGGCATTGCTGGTGATATTTCACCAGGCTCTTGAGATGACAGTGATAGGTCACCCATGTTTCACATCTGTAGAAGAGGGTGGGAATAATGACTGTGTTGTAGGCCTGGATCTTGGTGTCTTTCTGTAGATAACAGTGAATAAAGACACACCAAAGCAGTTTCCCAAAGGAGGTGCTTGGACACTGGGTCCTGTACTGGATCTCCTCATCAATGTTTATTCTGTGGGAGAAGTGGCTACTGAGATAGGGAAAGTGCTTGACTACCTGCAGGGTCTTTCCCTCCATGGTCATTTGGGGTGGGGGGTCACATTCATGGCCCCTGCAGGGCAGGCTGATAGAGCACTTTTGTCTTCTTGATGTTGAGAGAGCAGCCCAAAGTTCAGTAGGCATCTCCAAGAAGATCCAGTGTGGTCTGCAGTTTTTCCTCATTGTCTGCAAGAATGGCAGTCATTTTTGTGGAAAGGAGGGCAGTACCTCCATACAGAGACTTATCTCCTTTCTTGAAGATAGTTACCACATTGTCATTCCTCAGGTCCCTGGGATCTCTTCATTCCTCCAAATGTGTAGAATAAATTTGTGATCTCAGTACCAGTTTGCCAGGAACATTCTTCTCTGAGAAATGGAACATTTCTCCTCTGAGAAGGCCTTCTGCCTTGGGATCCTACAGAACAACCTGTTGTCCTGATTTAGTCCTTGTGAGATATGTGAGATAAATTGTGCTCTTTCCTGGTTCACTCAGGTTAGTTGCAGGTCATTACATGGTCAGGCCTGTCAGACTGCACTCTCCATGGCCACCTACTAGCACCAGTACAGCCTGGAAGGGCTATGTGTGGGTTTGTGCTGCTCCTCTTTGGTCCTGGGTTTTGACTTGGATCAATCAGGACCAGCTCAAATAACATGCCTGTGTACATGTGTCTGCCTATGTGTTTTCTTGTTAACTCCATCTTAAAAAGTGGAATCTGGCTTTGCAAGTCTGACAACAGACAGTGTCAACCCAGAATTTTTTATTAATTTTATTTATACACTTACAACAATGTACGATTCCTCTCTTTATATAGTGGAGAATATATACAGAGTGGAGGCACGTATGTCAAAACCTTCAATGCATTCCTTACCCAATTTGCCATGTAAACTGTGATTCTGGGAGACCCAAACTTACTATCATTCTTTTGGACATTCTCAGCCTTTCCTCTTGACACAGCTTCATTTTTCATGTAATGAATTTTCATAGCCCAAGAATGAGAATGACCCTCTAGCTGGATGATTAAAACACTCAGATGGGAAGCAGGCCAGCCAGTGCTTCAGCAAGGGTCAGTGCTTCAGTTACAGAAAGGAACAGAGCCTCCTCTTTCGAGTGCACTGTGGGTTAGTAGCTAGAAAACTCAACTTGTAGCAGGACAAATTTCAAAGACCCGACCCAGCTAAGATAAATTTGACTCTGGTTTGGATGGACAAATGAGGGTTGGGTTAAATCAGGCTGATTAGCAGTCCTGGCATCTGGAACACTGCCAGCTGGGAACCCAGCCTAACTTTTGTTGGTATAGAAAACACAAGGGCACAAGGCTAAGGGTACAAAATTACAAAGGAATTTATTAAGAACAACAGAATGTGAAAATAAAAGGGGAAAAAGGATGGGAAACAACAGGAAATGCACAGGCCAATAGCAGCAGTGTTTTACTAAATATCAACTAGTAGCGAACAGCAATCAACTTGAAGAACTGGTTGGAATAACAGGTAGCCAAGGTTAAAACAGTAGCAATCCAAATACCAAAACCAGCCAATCAGTCCAAGAAGGTCAAAAAATCTAAATGGTTTGGGCGGCAGGAAGGTCACCAGAAACTGGGCTACTCAGCAACACTGCTGTTCACCCTCCACAGGGAGCGATCTAGTGTTGCACACACGCGGGCACATGCAGCTCTCTCTCAAATGCCAGACAACACACAGCACCACAAACACACAACACTCAAACCACCCCTGCAGGGGTGGCAGTGGATATAGTTTTCCTAGACTTCAGGAAGGCTTTTGATACTGTCTCTCACCCCATTCTCATTAGGAAGCTGGGGGACTGTGGCGTAGACACCCATACAGTCCAATGGGTCGCCAACTGGT